TCTCAAGGCCATAGGGGCCCATTAGTACCCCCAAGACCCTGGCACCAATAACTCTTCCTGCACAGTGACATGTTCCAGGAGTTATGTGAGCAAGCACTGTAAACACTTAATTCCTCTTGCCTTCATTAAAGTTGAGAAAGACCTTTAAGGTCATTGGGTCCACCTGTTAACCCAGCGCTGTCACCTGCACACTAAACCATGTTCATTTCCCTCTCATGTCAGAAATAGGTCTGAAGCCTTTCCCTCTGCTCACGTTCAGAAATTACCACTAGAGTTTTTGAAATAATGATGATCTGAGCATATATGTTAATTTGATGAGACAGTTTAAAGCCTGAAAGCTTGCACTCTTTTTAACTTTATCAATTGTCGTAACACAAAATATGACCTCTCCCCTCAGTTGTTTCCCCTGGAGTGCAAAGACTGCACTGTTAAAACACCCCCAGTTTCCGATCCTATTCACTAGACTGGTTTATTGCAATACATACACTGACTGTAGCCTCCAGATGGTGGTATCCTTCAATTTGCCATGCTTTTACAGGGGTGATGATACATGTTATGCAGTTTCATTTCCCAGTCTTGACTCTCATGTGCACCTCCATGGGTAATTCAGCATAGATATATTTTTCTAAAACTGCCACTTGTTAAATCATCACCACAACATCCCATAATCAGTACAACAGCTTGGGGGAAATACATACAGTTACATATCTAGCAGCATAAGTGAAATCTCTACCTTCTATTTCAGGCCAGGCAACAGGAGACAAAAGGGAAAAAAAAAGACAACCAAGAAAAATCAGATTTTCTATAATTATATAAATTACAGCAAGAATGACTGTAATCACCTAAAATGCCTCTGGGGAGTTGGATTAGCAGAAGACAATTTCTCAGATCCACACTCCAGGGTTTAAACCTAGGGTTGATATTCAGAATTAGACTACCAAGCTAAAATAATTAACCCTTGGGAAGCTAAAATATGGAACTCAGAGGTATACCATCTAGCTAAAAGGGAGGAATATGAGACTGATGTCACTTTAAACTTCCTGTAGATCCTAATATTTGACCAGGTCAGTCAGATCCCCCATTTCAGTCCAAACCGTGAGTATATTTAAATAAAAAAAACCCTTTTCAGTCTCCCTTCTCTTGACATCTAATAAAAAAGCAGCAATCACTCAAACAAGTATTGCTTAAAACAAATAACTGATTCCCTTCAGTAATGTGTCTCTTGCTATGTGTATGATAAAAATACAGATACAGATAAAAAAAAGATACAGAACTAAAGCTGATTTGTAAGAAAGAAAGCTAAAATATTGTAAAAGAAATTAAAAAACTGACTAGACACGTAAGCAGGGTAGGTGGTTAGGGTATGAAAGTAGAATGTAAAGATAGAAATTAATAGGAATGCCTTCTTTTGCTTTATATTCTTTAGAAAAGTGAGACATAAAAGCCTCTCTCCTGGCATATGGACAATGTCCTAATATAAGAATTAAAATATTGCAAGAAGCTCCCCTCCACACTTTCTAGTTTTGAGGTGAGATCATGGATGGGGCAGTAGAGGAGGGCAGAGTGAGCAGGTCAGAAGTTACTGTTCCTCCATGTGAACGTTTCCCTGGGTATGGACAGGCTTTCTCTTTACCTCATCTTGAATTTCTTATGAGCAAGTGGCAAGGGATTGGCTTTAAGCAGAACTGTGAAGGCATGAAGTTGTGTTATTATTATCTGAATCTCCTGCTTCTCTGCACTGCAAGTTTTGTGCTTTGCCTGGAGTCTCATCCCGTGATTAGAATCCATTATACTGCCACAAATACCTAAAACTTGTAGCTGCTGAATCTGCTACTATTTGTGAATCCTAGATGAGATGTTACTGTCTAACAACGAAAACATCAATAATTCCCTTAATCATGGTGAAATGTTTTTTCCATGTAGATATTGCTTTGAGAATAGAAGTTTGTATGAACAACATCAATCAGGGAGCTCACACAAATGAAAAACTTACAGCCCCACTGGCAGCCGCTATTGAAGATTAATGCTGATAAACACTACATTCAACATAAGATGTGATTTCTGAAAATAAACCAATTTATTGGATTCCCGGACATATGTATTTTGTAGTCAACCATTGATTACTGACTCAGCTGATTCTACTGTTCATTCATCACACATGCTTATATAAAAGCTGAACTATTCTCATTCAGGACTTCTTCTAATATACAGCACAATTACTTGTGAAGCAGTACAGTTCCAGTTAAAAGCAATTACATTTGACACTGAAGTGTCTCCATTTATGTAGCACAAACACGACAGACACAGATATATTTTATGGAGACAAGTATCATGAATCAGAGAGACACTGTTGCATGTTGAACTCCGTCGTAGTCAGCACTTTTGGCAACATAACTCTTTTCAGATGAGATAGTTTTCCATTTCCAGGTTTTGCTTTGCCCTTGTTTTCTGGGGTTTTTTTGGGGGTTTTAGGAGGGTGTTAAACCATGGAGAAGTCATTTGCCATATTGTTTTCTTTGTTCTCCTGAGTCAGTGGTCCAGTGTGGGAGCCTCGTGCCATTTTGTCTTTGTCTGGGAAACCACATGGAATGTGGGAATGGCTGCCATTTTTTATTTTGTTTTTGTCATAGGGGACCAGGCAATTGTTCTGTGCCTTTGTTGGTTTAAACCATTTTCCTCTGTATCTTTGCAGTTACTGCTATTTGCTTCAATAAATTGTTATTTTTACTTATATTTCTCTGTATTGCCACTTCATTACTGGACAGGGCGAGAGGGAAGAAAAAACAATAGGGGAGTAACCTCTTTGGAGTTCTAATTCTCCAGTGGTTTGTCCAAAACTACTACAATGACTCTTCAGTGTTTGAAGAGATTGTTGGTATTTATAGCTTTGACTTTTATTTATCAAAAAATAAACACCAAATGCTAGCAAACAAGAAGGGAAAGATCTTGTCTTCAATCCCTTACCATATAATTACAACATACTTCCATTCTATCTCCTCTTACATACACCTCAGTAATCCAGAGGAGTTGGCATAAACAACAGGTCTATAAGCAAATTAATGCAAGAGAAAGGATGGTAAATGGGTGAAATATTTGATGAGATGTGTTTGTAGGAATGGCAAGATAACTCCCTAAACTGTTGTCAAGTCTTTCTTCATTTTCACTAAAAGGATAGGCTTTTGTAATCAAGTTCTGATTCTACAAAGGTACTTGAACAGGTGAGGGGCTCTCTAAGCTTCACGTTTAATGTTAGGCTCACACGTAAGATACAGATGAACTAAATACCATTTCTGTTAAGCCAAGAAAAACGTAGTCTTGATTACATACTTTTTTCATTACAGGAGCCAGAGAAATGCCAATTTTCATTACAGACTTTATTTTCACAAATAGTTCACGTTGCTTATGTGATAAGGCTTTCTTATTTTTGTTTTGTTTTTAACAAAAAAACCTGTCTCTGTCTTTTTAAAAGAAATGGCTGCTTCTTAATGCATTGAGATTTTTCTTAATAATGACACAACACATAGTCCTGAAAGCCTGAGGGTAAAGTGTAACCATTTGGAAAAATGACCCTTTGTACTATTATGAGAACTAGCCAGAAGGCTTTGGTGCCCAAATTTTGTTCCCTCGGTATCATCAATTCAAAACCTGTTGCTCGGTGTGATAGTTTTGGTTGGGTTAGAGTTAATTTTCTTTAGTGACTACCATGGGGCTGGGTGTTGGATTTGTGCTGAAAATGGTGGTGATAACACAGGGATGTTTTTTTATTGCTCAGCAGTTTTTTCACAGCATCAAGGCTTTTTCTGCTTTTCACGTTGCCATGCTAGTGAGGAGGAGGCTGGGGGTATGTCCTGGTTTTGGCTGGGGTAGAGTTAATTTCTTCTCAGTAGCTGTGTTTTGGATTCAGAATGAGATCATACTAATATTTTGTTTTTTGCTGAGTCATATTTACCCTACGCCAAGGAGTTGATTTTTTTTTTTCTGGTGTTTTTTTTTTTTCTTTTGGTTGGTTGTATTTTTTGTGTGTCTCATGCTCTGCCAGTAGGAAGGTACACAAACTGAGAGAGAATATAGCTGAGACAGGTGACCCAAACTGGCCAAAGAGTTATTCTGCACCACAGAGCATCATGCTCGGTATATAAACTGGGGGAGTTACCCAGAAGGGGGGCTGATCTGGGTTCAGGAACAGGGGTCTGGCATCGGTTAGGGGGTAATGAGCAATTGTATTATGTATTGCTTGTTTGTTTTTTCTTTCCATAATAATAATAGTAATAATAGTAACAACAGCAATAACAATGTTATTATTATTACTACTACTGTTACTATGATTTTCACTATAATTATAATATAGTTATAATATAACAAAATACTAATTTGTTATAACAAATATTAAACTTATCTAAATGATTAAATTGTTAATAATTAGACTTACAGTTTTAACTCCCCTTCCCATTCCACTGATGTGTGGGGGAAGAGAGGGAGTTGAGTGAGCAGCTGTGTGGTGCTTAATTTCCAGCTGGGAACTTCATCAATTATAGTTTTACAGTGTTAGCAAAGATGAAGGAAAATTTCCTTTCTTATTTCTTTTTTATTTTTTCTTATTCCTTATTTCTTATTCCTTATTTCTTTTTTCTTATTTCTTATTTCTTATAACTCATTTATCGTTGGATAAATGTATTTTGGTTATGATTTATTTGTCACATCCTGGAGATTCCTTGGTTCTGAAGCTGTACTAGATCTTCCTTAGAACAAGTTTTAACCAAAATGCTCTGTAATCTAGCTGTGTGCACAAAAAAGCATTTTTTGTTGTTCTTTCTCTTACCTTCTTCTCTAATCTGCTTCTCACTCCAAATTCTCAACAGATAAATATCATTAGCTTGATGTACATCACAGGAGTTTCCTTGGCAGATGTTGCTCTTCTCTGTGGAGTCAGAGAATGTTGTTACCATTTTTACTGGCAGATTCAAAATTCCATGTGTGGAATTTGTGTCTGTTTTCAGATTCGCCAACACTTGCTGATGAATGTATGCACTTTGTCATGTATATACTTTAAATTCATTGTGCAAAGGCTTGTCTTATCAGCTGACCCCTTGCTGTGTTCATTGGAAGTAAGATACAGCTGTCATGAAACATTGGTTAGCAAAACCTGCTACTCTGCAGGGAGAAATGTGCATTGTGCAATGCAAATTCAATACAAGCATTATTATTTTTCATGCCAAGTATCTGCTTATGGCTGCTTATGAAAAAACCAATCCATATTAGAGTATGCAGAACAACTTCATTCTCATTGGCATTGGTAAAAGGAACAACACACTGAAAATTCCTGTTCTCCTTTGGAACTGAGTAAATGGAATAGCTTTATAATATTGTATGACTAAAAGACAAATAATCCTCTGAGCGCAATGCAAAGAATTTCAAAGCCCAGCACCCAAAGAGTTTTAACGAGGGACCAATTAAGTGCCTTTGATCATCAGATCTGAATGTTCATGAAAGAGAATGTAAAAAAAGTAGATTGAAGAACATAGCCATAAATGCTTTTGTGATTTAGATAAATCTGTTTTAAAACCAAAAGTTGAATTTGATAGAAAATGATTGCTAGTCTGTCTAGAGGCATCATGATGAGAAAACATGCTGTTTTGAGAATATCTAGAAAAAAAAGTATGCAACCTTTAGTCTGGAGATAGAAGGAAAGGTTCTGCTTATGTTAACAGCTGCAAAACTGCTCTGCAGGAAACATGATAAAACACAAATGAAGCAAGAGAGAAATAAATAGATGAGCATTTTGAAAAACAAATGGGTCCATTCTGAAAAAAGTAGTTCTGAGAACTGTAGAAAGGACAAACATGTCCACTATGGCTTTGTGTCTTGTGATTGAATTCCCATCTGCACCAGACACACAAAATAGCATATACAGAACAACTTTTGCCTGCCAGTTTACTACTTCACTCCTTCTGTCTCCAATTACTAATATTTATATAGCTAAGTAATCAAACCATCACAAAGAAATAGAGAATAGGAAAATTATTTTGTTAAGGTCTACCAGAATACCCACAATGACTGGAGAATCCTTGTCAGGATGAAGAGCAAGTCTGCATAAGACATACAATCTGAGCCTATTGTGAGTTTAGTTATAATATCAGCATAGGTAGCATATTGGAGGCCATAATTGTTTGCATTGACTTTCTTCTTTGCAAGAGAATGGGCTTCCAGTAAATTAACAGTTGATTATATTCTGCAATATAAATGTTTATCAATGGATTACTCAAAGCTAGTAGGAACTGGCAGTATTGCACTTGATTCCATATGGCCAGTGGTGCCCTAAGAAAAACTACCGTTATTTTGGATATAACACAAGTGTTAATCAAGTGTTCAATTTACTGTTGTCTTTCCACGTACAATTTCAATGCAGGGTGCAAGGAAAGGGGACCTCGATTCCTGCAAAATGACAATATAGATTTCTTCACAATGTCAACACTAGTGTAATGGCTACATATGAAGTGAGTCATCATAAATTAAGCTGCAAATTTGTAATACTCAACTGGTCTAAAGTGGTGCATTAACTTCAGTGGTGCTGCTATTTCATTTACAACAGCTGAGAACATGTACAATGGTCTTTGGTTTAGAAGGTAGATTCTTCTTGGAGTATATGACAAAATTATTCTATTCTATTCTATTCTATTCTATTCTATTCTATTCTATTCTATTCTATTCTATTCTATTCTATCCTATCCTATCCTATCCTATCCTAGGTAATTGTTTGTGTAATATATAGTAAACCGTGTTATTTCTTTGAAAGTCTTTACTTTCAGTGGTACTATGAAAAATTCATAATTGCTTCCCTGAACTGCCATCATACTGTCATGACAATAACACAAATGCCATTGATTACTGATATTTTATACATAGTCTTGCTTTCACTCCTCTCTACAATCCAGGTTCCTTTTCTGTTAATTTAAACCAAGCCAATTGCAGAAATGACATTTTCTTCAAAGACAGCTCCATCAGTTTCCAACTATAACAACAATAGCATCTTTAAATTAGGCTGAAGCTTTGCTTTCAAAATGGCTTTTACAGTGAAAGCATGTCTCCTCTGCATGTACTGCACCGCTTGCATGTTTATGACAGTCTGACTGTAACTGCGAGAGATATAATTTAGGTTTAAAAGCTATTAGTCCCAGATGTACAATTGAATTTTAGTCTTCATTACAGAAAACATGGCAGACTGAAGAGTAGGGGACAAGGTCGGAGCTATCCAAGGAGCAGTGAGAGGAAAAGGTGATTATCCTGGCAAAAGCCCACAGGTGCATTGCCTTGTTCGAGTTGTCTGACTGGGGAAAAGCTACATCTTTAAGGAATGCTGCTGTCCTTTTTAGAGGTATTGTGTGGAGGCAAATGCCAGGGAGATTTATGTGGTTCATTCTCTGACCTGTGATAATGCATCATTAGAGCTCTGCGTGTTTTCCACCTTTGTGAACAAAGACTCATAACGGGGACGATTACGAATAAAAGAAGAGGAGAAGCTGCAGCAGTGGCAGCAGGGGAAGCGTGGCTCAGGCATACAGAACTTCACTCAGAAGTTGAACAGAGATATCTTCTTTTGCATTGCACCTTCATTTCACTTTATTCTAAGGACTCCATCCCTAACTGCTTATCTGTCCAAAGGTCAGTCTCCTTGACAGAATTATAACAGAGCACAATGCCAAAACATGCCCCCCCCTGCAAGTTGCCCTTCTCGTTTAACCCTTTACTTTCTTGGTGGACATTATAATAAATTTCAGGGCATGAGAAACTTATAAGGAGACCTGAGGTCACTCATGATCTCTAGTGAGGGCTCTATTGGGTCCTCTGAAGTGAAATGATAACAGCAAAAACTATTTCATGGCCCTGCGTACCTTTGCTTTTATCCTGACCCCAGGCAATCTTTTTATTTAGCTTGCTGAAATGCAGGGCTGCTGCTCTAGCTGACTGACTGGGGAATAAGTTTATATGTATTTAACCAAACCAGACTAGCATCCCCTCTTCTCTGGCCATGGATGGATATGGATTCAAGCAGTTGTAATGCTTTTTTGAGAACATTACCAAGACATTTTAATCACGGCTTACTGCACTGGTAGATTAGTACCCAAATGCAATGACCTTCTTTTTGCTGTGGACATGAACATGCCAGAAAACCAAACTGTACTATTCTTTGTCTTGATCCAATAAATTGGGATTAAATAAACAAGAGAGACAAGTGTGATGTACTTTGAAAATCTGAGTGCACCTGTTTTGTAGTGGAAAATTGGATGTTCTTTTTTTTTTTCTTCCATAAAAATGCTCCTGCCTGTGTTTGTCTCTTAGGGGATGACACTATAACCAGAATTTATGCGTGGCTTCCTACATATTTTGCATTTGGAGGTTATTAAGAAACAAAACAACGAAGAAAAATGGTTCTACATAAGGAGGTATTAGAATACCTTAGTCTGACTGTCTACTCCTCTACTGCACTGAGGTCTGATTCCGCAAATGTGCACAAGAAAGTGGGTTATAAGGGAGAAGAATTATGGAGGAAAGAGCTACCTGAAAGCCTCACAACCATATTTAAAAAGAACCATTATCCTGAAGCACTGTGACCAAATCCTTAATTCCTGGGCACTGTTGTTTTGGCACTTCCATTGAGGAAAAGTAAGCATCACATGCTTCCACATCAAACTACTTGTGATCGGTGTCCGCTTTGGGTTGGTCTGTGTCGATACACGGTAAGAAAGGGGGGGTCTGATCTTGAAATAGGATATCAACTTCTCAAGCCAAGAATGTTTCAGAATATCCAGTCCAGGCTTTTCTCAATTTTACTTCCATGTGCATAAAGAATGAGCCATGTTTTACCACATGGTGGAGTTTATGGCAGCATGTATCAACAGATACAAAAGTGTGCACACCTTCAGGCATCTCTGCCTTCTTCCATGTCTTGGAAATGGTCAGAGAAGCATCTTCAACCTTTGTGGAGAAGTGCAAGTGCATCACTTATCTTTTTCTGCAGGAAAAAGGTGGTGAGTTGGATATATTTTGTCATGTTCCACCTGTTAGTAGCTGGTGTCCATGAGCAGTACTGTATTACAAATTTGGAATATCTGTTTTTGTTATCTAACATGTCAACATCCAGACAGGAGCAGGAATGTGATGCTTAGTTCCATATTTAGGGGACTCTATTTCCACATGTGCAAGTAATCAGTTAGTGTCAGAGACAGCGGCATGTTTTGCACATCTTCCCAATCAGATTTGAAATAGGGACCACTGTGATCCAAAAAAACCACAATGCTTTGCATGGTAAGCAAATGAGGAAGCCTCTGTATCTCTGAGCTTTTTTGAGTGTTTGCTAGGACAACCTAGGTAGCCTGTTGATTACTCTTTGAATACTTCTGATGGTATGAAAAATTAATCATTCAAAGCAAACAAGAAAAACAACCGAGCAACACAAAAGGTGAGGCATAACAGATGTTTTGCTTAAGCATGGTTGTATAATACTTGCATAAAAATGAAAGTGTTTTGTTTCTCTCATGTCCTGAAAGACATGTGGTAAAAATAATTTTATTACTACCAGGTGTCTTCCTCAGTTGGACAGGTAAAAAAATAAAAGTATTTTTATAACGGTTATAAACCATTCTACATTATCTTAATCATATATAGTCAAAATCAAGATAGTACAGAAGTATTTGATGCACAAGACCAGGGCAAGGCCAAAAAGATTGCAGTTTGTACAGTTTTGTTCTGTGTATTAAATTCGATGAAAGCAGCTCTGCAGGTAGAAAGCTGTAGTTGCCTTCAAAATAATGTATTTTTGTGTGATTCCTTTTATGAAATGGCAACCGTAATTCCAGGACTTATGACATCCTTGACTCAGCTATGTGCTTAAGCATCTAAGCTTAAACTTAAGGCTAGGTTTAAAGTCCCACTGAGATTTACTTGTGTTAGGTTCTTTATGCAACAGAACAGCAAGATGGCAAGAACAAAATAATTCAGGAAAAAAGTGCAAAATGCACTAGTGTGCTAGTGATATAGGTGATAGGTGAGAAGGAAAAATGAAGCTTTTCATTTGACAGCTTCAGTGGTATGTGACTGTTTTAGGAAGAAGTTTCATGAAATATATGGGAAATGTATCTATTACATTACCTGGAGAAGTAAATTTGAAGGTGACTAAGTCAAAAGAAGTGAATGTGTTATTTCTGAGGAGAGATTGAGTAGATGGAGACAAGGCAGAGGACATCAGATTAATGAGAACAGTGATCCTTATGTGTGGAGGACAAGAGATAGATGCAGAGGGATTGCATCACACACAAATAATCAATTGCTGTGTTTGAACTGTCAAACTGAAAGTACTGCTACTTTATAGTGGTGAATACTCAGGGTATCCTCTACTGATGAAGAATTGTAACCCTATACGTAAGGCAGCTTTAACATGTACACTAATCTCAAACCACTCACCATTCAAGCAACATCAAGTCCTAACTGCACATCAGTGCCAGTTTGACCTTGCTTCCTCTCACTGCACTGTTGACAGCTCCCCAAAAGAATATATCTTCTTCCTTCAAAGCAACTCACTTGCACAATGTTTGGTATGGTCTTACTGGAAATAGCAAGCAATGTAACAGGTGTAAGAGAAGGAGATTCATTCTAAGAGATTTTACAAAGTTATGAGATTTTTAACCTGTTCATCAGAAAGGAGTAAGATCTGCTTCTTGGGTAACATAAGCCACCTTCCTCTATTCTGCTTCACATTTCTTTTTTGTGATGCTGTGAGAGCTCCATAAAACTGAAGTCAGTCATTTCCTCTCTTCGAAATGACTGACTTAGTGTCTGATGAGCAGCAGAATCAGAGATGGATCCATTTCTCTGTCCTGATCAACACATACCACTGCTATCTGACTATCCATTACAGTGGTAATACCAAAGTTTTGCTTTAGTATTACAGAGCATCAGCTCTAAGTGGGTCATGCTCAGGGGTCCTGTATACCTGACTGGTCCTTTTATTAACAACAGAACATGTAATATATAGTGTCAGGAGTAAATAACACTCACCCCTTAGAATCACACTTGGTGATCCTATAAATACTGCATACATAGGTAAACCTTGGTGCTCTTTCAAAGCCTGGTGCTGATGTATCCACCTTTCAGAACTTTTCAATGTAAAAACAACTTGGAAAATGTTGTAAGGTGTACAATGAAGTGTAGCAAGAGTTGAAAATATTTTGTCATTAGGTTGCAAGATATCCTTCCATAAGTCACGGCTATCCACTTCTCGTGCACAGAGGTCAAACAAGTTTTCTAACAATATAGACTGGGATGATAGTGGATCCAGGACTCTGCATTCACTGCTCCAGCGAAAGCAAAACTTCCTCCTTGTGCAGTGCTGGAAAGCCTTGCAAATGAGGAATATATGTTCAAACTCCTTTAAATGATGTGAAATTCACGTGGTTGTTCATACACTTCTAGAATTAAAAAATCATATCCAGGTAATCACAGGTTAGCAAATAATGCTCCAAGAATTCGTACCGCAAATCTTGACATTAAACCAATCTTACCCTTGTCTTGCCACTTGAATCATTTATTTAAGCGGTGATAATAAAAGGTGTCAGCAATTCAGTTGTAAGCTCTTGAAGATTTCTGTGCGCATTGACCTTTAAGTGTTTGCATCTTGACAGGTGAGCTGTTCTTAACGTCCCCTATGAGATATGGTGGGGGCAAGGGGTCAGGCATGCTAATGATAAAATTACCATTTACCTTTTACCTCACCAGTCTCAGTACCTGACATTATAAATGTAGGTAACCTTTCACCTGAGGGCTCTCTTTCTTCTGCACTGCTAGGGATTATGCAGAAATGAATGTGCTTGCAGCTGTGGAAGAGGCATCAGTCATGAATAAAAGGTGCTTTCGGTGATTCTTTCCCATTAATTTTCATTTTTATTGTTTTTTGAATCATATTTTTGGAAAAAAGCATGAACAGTTTTGTCCTGTTTTATTTTGGTTATCTGGATATTTCTATTCTAGCATGCTAAATCTGTTTGAGCTTATTCTGTTCTTTCTTGCTGAGATGAAAACATTAATTGTTAATTGATTGATACAAGTGATATAGCAGCAGTCAATAACATTTCTTTCAGGGATAAGTGGTGACATTAATGAGACTGTATTGATGATCTTCAGCGTTTTCCATAACCCAACAGTGTCAACTCGTTCACCTTTGCATCCTGATCCAAGTTTTCCCATGCTTCCCCAGTTTTCTGACTTTGGTCAATATGTCTCTCCCAAAGGCAATACCATTCAACGTGTGCTAATGGGTACACGAGAGCTTTGGAGATATCAATAGAAGTCTGAAGACTGTATAAGGACTGCTGCTCTCCCACCCACCTATGACGTGCCTGATTGCTCAGAAGTAAACACTTAGACAATATGGTATACTGTGAAGATTAAATAACAAGAGCGGGGAGTATTTATTTTTCCCCATAAAAAATATTTCAGATTTCTAAAAGTCACGCATATTGTGGATAGCAAAACTAGCATGTCTTGGAAAAAATATTAAAGATGGTGCTAGGTGCAGAGCCTGCATTTGGCTGATTCATGGGCAGGTGATTCATATCCTGATTTGAAATATGTATTCTTCTTGCCAGATTTAAAGCATATGAGGGTGGAAAACATGAAGATACAGACACAGAAAATGAGATTCAGTTCTCTTCACTGATCAAGAGTCAAACAATCACAAGCTTAAGTAGAATTACCTCCCTGAAGAACAGCCTCTTTCTGATAAATGCAGCCATGTAACCACTAGGGCATAAATCGTGCAAATTGAAGACTATAATTCAAATATAAATCTTTATAATAAATTCAGTGAAATTTGGAATTGTGTATATGAACATTATTCATATCTATGAATCTTCAAGCACAAATCTTGTTGCATTTTATTCATGTAATAGGGATATACATTTTGCAAAAGTTTCATTCAGTGGATATCGACCTTAATGAAATTGTACTCTGGGAAGTCTATAAAAATTGTTTCATCTCCTTCATATTGGAAAAACCTTAGTAGACCTATTTCTAGTTTTATCTGTTCATGTACACACACAGAGTTCAAGTATCTTATAAATGAAAGGCACAACTACATTACCTTATTAAACTGGCAGAGTAAGGAATAGGCTTGGCTAGTACATATTGGAAGGACAGAGAGGTTACAATGCTGAAAAAAAAAGTCACGGAAGAAATATTGTCCCTTCTAGAAAAGTGTATAACTCTTCTCTCACATCAGCCTACACTGCTTCTGCCATCAGGGAGTTTGTGAAGTAGTGAAGCAGGACAGAAAGCACAGGAAAAGCCTTCCTCTGGGAAGCTTGTACTCAAATCAAATGTGTTGAAAGGACACAGACAGGGATGTCATTCAGGCTGAATAGCCTGACAGAGTTATTTCCAGGCTTATCAGATCATGTTCCACTTGTCTGAATACTCTTGTTTTGCTTCTGTGCATCAACATGAACTCAGCCCCCAGCACCAAAACGAGATTCATTTCCACAGCACAAAGGGTTCAACTGTGCTTTTCAGCCAATTTCCCTCCTACTTCTCTGCCCATCTTTCTCCTGGAATGGATTGGTTCTTCTGCATTCATACTCTGAGTTTATGGTGGTGTAACTATTTTCTGGTCATGGTTTAGGCCACAGAGGCACACACAGTATTACGCAGATATGCAGGAATTTTAATAACAGTATGCAAGGTTGCAGAGACTCCATAGATGTAATAGAAGTTGCTGGCAACGTTTGTAAATAGATTTTACAGATTATTATGTAGTCCCATTCCCTGATCTATTTCTCTGGGACCAGGACTGAAATTCCATGCTTCTGCACATTTTCAAGCACATAATATCAAATATATTGAGGAGAAAAGAGAATCCTGCCAATAAAATATTTCTTTTCCCTCCTTCAGACTGCAGCATGTTGAAGGATTAGCATAGGCCAGGCTTAGATGGGCAGTCGGTTTCTGATTAGGAAAATTTCTGATTAGTTTTCGTGTTAGGGAACAGGAGTACTGAGAGCACTTGGGGGTCAAATTACTGCATTGACAGAGAACACACATTTAGCCCTCACAAAACCTGCAGTGTTTCTCAGCATGGATTAACATGATCTTTGCAATATCATGCCAGTAAAACCCCCAAAATACTGGATTATGCTCTGTCTCATCCCATTTGTGTTCTTTGAATATATATGGTGCTTCAAGGAATCTTCCTTTTGATTTCCCAAGGGATATCCACTGAAGGTTTGATCCTGCAATGCACTGAATACACTGAACATTTAAAGAAGACAGAGGAATTTGAGAGCATAAAGGTATCTCCTGGCTACAGACATGAAGAAATATGTTGCACCAGCTATGTCTTGTGCACTGCTGTGCAAAATCTTTTCAGGACAGCAAGACGAAACAGTGTCACTTCAAAAAAAAAAAAAAAAAAAAAGAAAAAAATCTAGCAAGAAACACACTTCCTGGAGACCTGGAGGGAAATCTTTCCAGATACACCACATTCCTGAATCTGCAAGGAGGATTTGGTTTCACGGCAAGGACTCGCTCAAATCAGAAAACCTTCTGCATTATCACTAGCTGCACCACTCACACCTATTAAGTCCAACAGGAAACATATTTTGCAGATTGGCTCGTAAACTAAGATAACAGAACATATTTAAAATACAGATGTATAGATTTGAGACTACATTTATTGATTCTTGAAGCTTTCAAAACAACATTAATCATGCAAAGAGGCAAAAATATGACATGCCAGTTAAGGAATGGAAGGAAAGGGAAGAGTCTTTTTCACAGAAGAGTCTGTGTCAACATATTTCTGATAGTTAATCAACAATCAAGTAAGTCTAGTGATGGATTGACTATTCCAGGAGGGACTACAGGATATAAAACACTTTTTTCCCCCCAGTTTATAGAAAATGTAGCTTGCTGATTAAAAGAATAAGTGGTTTTGTCTTTTTATATTTTAAAAAACCACTCTGTATTTCCAGTAAAAAATAAAAGTGGTTTCAGTGCTGATTGGAAAATGTACATATAATTTAGCAATAGATTGAAATATATCGTTTGGGGGAAAAAAAAAAGTTAAAGTAGTTCATCCCCAGTATTAAAAGCTTGTTCTATTCTGGGTGAAGACTGGAATTGACTTCAGAGAAGGACTTCAGGGGACTCTAGATTTAGCCCTTAGACCTAACATTACTCTGTGACATCTTGCTATGCTTTATACACCACCAAGCACATGGAAATTGCTACATATCAATACATGAATTTGTTTTTTTATAAGTATCTTTAGCAGAAAGGATTTATTCAAAGGAAAATGCATATTTCATGTGTTCACTTTCCAGATTCCTCATTATTGGTAAAGCTTAATCAGGGGATGAGTTAAAATTCTTACTTATGGCATGGTATGCTGTGCAAATATCTCTCAAATACACAATAATTGTATGTGTATAGGTGTGTGTACACACACACACAAGATATGCAAATAAGTATGCAAGTATAATGTACATATATGTAAGCACATGGAAGTGCATACCCTTAGCAGCAACACAAAGAATCAGTGCATACCGCAATTAAATGAAGTATGTAATTTCTGAGTTAAGATCAAGACCTGGGAAAGGAAGTCTGTGTGCTGGGCTGGCAATCCTCTGGGAAAAAGGCCAGGAGAGTTGATACCTAAAAGGTTCATTCACTGCTTCTTTCTTCTGTGGAAATGCTGAATGAGAAACTCAAGTGCAGCATCTACAAAAGCCTGGCCTGAGAGTGCTCCTGCCTATAAAGGAATGTAATGGGAAAACACCTTCAGCTTTCATGCAAACCCTGCTCCTTCAAACAGTCTTCAACTGCTGGGAAGAAAGATGTGGAGGTCCTGGGATGACTATGATATCTGTCAGCAGAATCCTCTTACTAACTGGATGAAAAACATTTTCTTCTAATGAGAAAACCTGGAAAACAGCGGAAATCCCAGAGGTTTTAAATCTCTGTGGTTATCTTCTTATGTGTTTCCACCGAAGAATGTAGTGGGAGCCAGGGCTATCTGTGCGGACATAGTGTTGCTATCTCTTATTAGACATTATCATTTCTTCCAGATTGGAAGCTTTCCCATACCTGATCAGATTTATTAATGTGTGTTTATAGTACTGCAGTTGTATTTTGATGATTTTGAGACGTATGAGACTGAAAGGGAATGAGATGATATTTCTAGTATAATTTGTTCTGCATAAGGCCTGTTTCCTTTAGTACTGAAGTCCATTCTCTATTTGTGCAGCTACTGGACCAAATCGGCTTGTACCAACAGCCACGCTCTGCTGACAGCTCAAGAAGCTTTGCCAGTTGACACCAGCTAAGAATTAGGCTCCACAATTTTAAGGGAGGGACAAAGACAAGAGAAGTGTTATCGTGTCAGACTATATTTTCAGTTCCATCAGACCAAGTCTAGAATAAGTCCATTTAAAGCAAGGATTTTTTTTTTTAGATTTTCTTTGGTGTAACAGAAAAGAGTTTGTCCCTGAGCATTTATGTCTTTCAAAAAATCTCAGTCAAGCAGAAAACACTTTTTACACAGTCTCTGAGATGCTAATGAAACCCAGAGCAACCCACTGATATGCAAAGTACCTCATTTAATGAATTTAAACACACGCATATGTGTATGTGTATATGTATATATACACACGGTGTAATTGGGAAAAAAACCCAACCTAAGCAAAAGAAAAATCCTCAAGACGAGATACAGTACCCTTTAAGTACAGAGCTGTTTAAAATATCAATCTCCTTATTGTAATTTGATGTGTGAAATTCAGGCACGCATTTACAATTCAGATCCCATTCCTTGGGGATTCCCATTTAGGGCCTGTTCTTATGATTTATTTAGTGCCTTTCTTCACTTACTTACGCTTGAGATCGTTAGGTATAATGCACATATATGCACAGGGATAAAATGTTTATCATCATTACTTCAATGAAGTCATTTGCCATCCTTGACACCCTCTAATGTCCCAAGTGCTTCAACCCACTGGCTCATTTGCCCAGCTTTGCTCTCTCTTCAGTTTTTCATCTCAAATTCTCAATGTGTTCCCTTCATCAATCACAGATGTTTAGTTGGTAGCAGGAGAGAAGACAGCAGAATAATTATCCAAATATAACAAAAGAAGGTCCCCTTTGTGATGCAAGAGGGACAGGGAGGAGGGAGAGGGGGAATACGAGTGTGGATTTCATGCTTCTTTGAAAACATTAATGATGTTTAATGGAAGCCAAAGAACCCACTGGAAGCCATCATGGTCTCACAACTGTGTCCCACATAGCTAAGCCAAGGACATGGTTCCCCCCGAAGTGTCCTCTTTCTGCTCTGCCTCTCATTGCCCCAGGTTGCCAGCATTTCACCACCACTGATGTTTGCAGTCAGGAACCACTTTGAATGTACCCTTTTGGGTCCATTTTTCAAAAAACTAGGATCCAAATCACTGTACACTGACTACATTCAGCTAATTGGCCCTTGCCTTCGATGACATCCATGGAGTGGGGATGAACAAATCGAAGATGAAAGGGTGTGCTGGGGTGGGGGCAGGGGGAAGTTAGCATGGCCTGGGGCACAGTGTCGTACACAACTGGGGAGAGGCGAGGAGGGTGCAGGGTCCCCAGGTGGCTGTGCACAAGGTGACTTTTTCACTTTCAAAGAAGATTGGTCTTTCACATTTCTCTGCCCCCCTAGTACAGACACCAGCTGCAAGATGGTATTTCTCTGTGACTTGAAAGCAGGAATATACAAAAAGCCTTGCAGAGTCTAATGCTGACAGACCCTAGAGATGTTCATGCTCAGGAAAATGTTTTTTAGGGGTGCTTCAGAGCTCAGTGAAATGGTGGTGGCTGATGTGTGCTAGATCTGGGAAAAGACAGCACTATTTGGTCAAATGCTATATATACCACTGTGGGTTGGCCTAGTTAGAACTCTAGAAAAATGAGATCGATAAAATGATAGCCCAGAGTCGGGATAAAATTAAAATAGAAAATTCTCATGTAGATCACAAAATCAACACAAAACAAGCAAACAAAAACAAAAACAAGCAATCCTCTTGAAACAGAACCAAACACCACAGGATGGAAATGAACAACAATTCACCTTCTTATTTTTCTCAGTGAGTCCATGCAGGGCTTTGGTCGTTTACTCAATCATTAATATTTGACACACTCAAAATTCAGTCAGAATGACAAATGCCAGAAAGGAAAATCAGGGTTTCTGAACGCTACCTGACGTTTCCAAGCCCCAGCAAAATCTTTGTTTTACTTTCAGTGCACCCTTTTCCCTTTTCCTAAATATGAAGAACTAGTGGAGGGGGCTGACATAATCAGGAAAACACGTTACAGAGAAAATTAATGTGGTCTCCATCAGAAACACAGTATCAGTGGTTGCCTTTGATTAAAACAGGAAATTCTGTCTTTGAATGTATCTACTAAGCCACATGACAGAGGCAGATGTCCTACCAGGGAATTCCCAAGCCTTTTGTTCAGTTTTAGGGAAAGAAATGGAAGATGAACTACTGGTATTAGAATCACAGCTAAAATCTATATCTTTACAGAAAACTAAATGTTCTTGATTTTTGGTTTGTTTGTTTGTTTTTTCTTTCTTTTTTTTTGTGGGGGGGGGGCGGGGTGGGGGGGAGTATAAGCCCATATATAACCTGGGATACCTTAATCTCTTCCAGTTTGAAGTATGTGAGCTAGAGGTCACATCAGGTCATTAATGGACCTTCCCCAGTCTTTTGGGAACGTCCCAGTGGACTTCCTCAATCTTTTTTGAATCCATCTAGCATGCTAGTCTCCACAATATCTGATGGTAATGAGTTTTAGAGCTTAATGAGACATTATATAAAAATAAAATAATGGACTTTTCTAGATCTTTGATAGAGATTGGTTATTTCTGCCCATGGGAAAATGCGAAGACTGCAGTTTTTCTTAGTTATTTTTCATGCCAAATCTTAGCATATCAAAACCAAAGTAGAAGAGCCAGTCTTTCGTGGCTCTTTCTCAGAACTATGTGTTGAGACCTTTTTCTGCTTTTTAAAAATGATCACTTCCAGTTTAAGGAACATTCAACATTCACTCACTCATTTTTCCTGCTAAGTGTTTTGTCTGTTTTCTTCTCCTTTCTGAGCCTTCAGGAGGAGATTAGAAAGACTATGCTTGAAGATTATGAAAGAGACAGCTTATCATGGCTGCTTTGACCCTTGCAGGTGAAAGAGGGTTTGAGCCACAACATTAGCAAAATTACCAACCTTAGCAAAAAACAAACATGGTTTTGTTATTTTTTTTTCTTGTCTGAAATATAAAAAACAGTGCAC